TAACGATTCTACGGCCAAAAGACACAAATATGTCGTTTATTTTGAAAACCTCCCATAAACAAACAGAATGAAACTTTTTCGGTCAGTGGAGTAATGGGCTTTGCTATAGCGATTATAATCGCTCAGCCAATCAGTGAGTTTGTTCTTTTTCACTTCCGTTTTAGGCCTAGGTAGATGTATGCGGATGTATGCCGGGCGCGACGTTCGTATACTATGCAGATGTACGCCAGACGTCTCGCGCAACAAGTTTCGCGATATATCACGAAACCCTTTCACGCTGCGAAGCACCTGGCATTCATGTACCTAGGATTGCGGCGCTAACACCCGAATCAGGCAAAAGCAAGGTTTGTAAATAGGCTTTCAACCCCACAAAATAACTAGGTAGATATACGCCAGACCAACGTCTCGCGTAACAGGCTTCACGATATCTCACGAAACACTGTTACGCTGCGACGCGCCTGGCATACATCTATCTAGGCCTGCGGCGCTGACACCCGAGTCGGGCAGAAGAATGCGTCGTAAATAGGCCTTCGCCTTCAAAAGTCACAAATCCATCCAAAAACTTTGAAATGATTAAGGGTCAATTTCGTGCGGAAAGCTCCCTGTAGCGCCTCAACGGTTGGAGATAGAGCCAAACGGACGAAATTTTCGCCCAAAGGGCTCTACTTTGATGAGTTACCCCTCGGGAAAGTGTAGAAAAAATAAAATAATTAAAAAACGTTATTGGTGGGACCTGTGGTTTTTGATTTTTTTAAAATCTCTTGCTCTTCTTTGAACTTGATCTGTCTTTTTATGAGACAAAACGACCCTGAAAATCCCAGGTCGCTAGCTAACTTCGTTCTCGAGTTATCGTGATGACAGACACACAGACAAACAGACGCGAAACTTTTTGATCATCATTGGAGTAATAGGCTTCGCTAATCGGTCAGCCAACAAATTTTGGTCCCCAGGGTTTTATTTTGACGATTTGACCCGCACTGGAGACCATCAAATATCTAAGAAAAACCATTAAAATGTTTTGGGGTCATTTTCTTCCTTAAGAGATGTGTTAGAGATAGAGCCAAACGGACGAAATGATGCATTACGGCAAAGCTGAAATGCAGCACACTGTGAGGAAGAAGAAAATGGAAATCGTTATGCTTGAACATGGTAACTTCAGTTTGGCGGTTCCGCGAACTTCGTCTGCGTTAGCCAATGAGCGTCAGGAAGGAAACAGTTCAGGAAGCATTATCAGAGACCTGCGTAGGGCGGGCTCCCCAGGTGCCCGTGACGTCACTGCGGTGGCAGAGGCAGATTTGCGTTCGCCTCGTCTGCTACTGGTCCCTCAGCTACCGCAGCGACATCAGGGGCACCTCGGGGTTGTGTCCGAATTCTCCAACATTTCGCCCCAGACGGAACAAGACAGATAGCTCTGCGGCCGTTGCGAGCCGGGCCAAGCCCCGGCAAACAAATGAACGACGTCTCTCGGACACATTCACATTGGCTCATTGGCTCATTCGTTCTCTGACCTGTTCTGTCCTGTCGTATAGTTGTTCGTCGTGAAGTGTTGTAGCAGTGTTATAGTTTAAGTGTTCAGTCAATAAAGTGTGTGGTTAATTGAAAATTTATTTGTTTAAGCAGTGAGCACTGTTCGATACCTTCCGTCGAGAAAGGCTCAGCCGCGCGACCGCTGCAGAAAAAGACTTGGCCGAGCGACGGCTACTGTAAACGGCTCAGTAAGTGGGGGGCTGCTAAGAAAGACTCAGTTGCATTTTGGCCGCGCGACGCACGTGCACGTTTGAAGCGCCAGGAAAAATCGGTGGCATAAGATATAAATTTTCTGAAAATGGCAAACGATAGGTGAAGCATGTCTGCGTCGTTTGCCGCTTTCAGAAAATGGGTCGCGCGGCTGAGCCTTCCTTGACGGAAGGTATCGTGTTACGCAACAAGCAAGTCAGAATACCTGGGTTCATTGCCCCGTGAATATGTTGAACATGTTCAATCCGAAGTTGTGATCCCTGAAGAAGGAAACGGTGATGGAGATGATCCCAATGAAGTTGAAGGGATTTCAGTAACTGCCAAAGGAAGCAAGAGATGCAGTGACTTCTACGCTGACAAAAAGAAAAAGCCAAAGAAAGCCAAGAAAGAGGATGATAAAGACTGAATGAAAAAGGTTTCTAGAGCAAAGTAGAAATGATCGGAAAGAAGAGATGGCACTGCTCTTAGGTGCACTGAATAATGTAGCACCTAAATAAACGGAAGTCTGAGTGCCTTTTCTTGTGCTAAGTATTTTTTTTTCATTGATTTTGTTATAGTTTTTGTTTTCTACCTGTAATGTTGAGTGAAACTATGTACCTGCTTCTCTAACGTCAGCTATTTGTGATATAGTATGTAAGAACTTTATTGCAAAGAAAGATAATTTGTTTCCTATGTTTTCTGTGATATCCAGGTTTAGATGTAACTTTGTTTTGTTTTGATAAGACTGATGGGAATGGGGTACAACTCAAGTGATACAATTTTCTTTGCTATTTTTGTATCAAAGAACTGTTATACTTTAATTATAATAAATAGATGAAGCACGTTTGTGCTATAAAACATAAGATTGATGGTCAGTTATTTATAAAATAAATTATTCAAATTAAATAAAAGACATTTGTGCTATACAGCATGAGATTACTGGTCAGGTTTCGTTTAGAACTTAACGGCACAACACACATTTTTTATAGTAGGAAACATACTCAGTTTTGTCTCTTAATTTTTGCTTGAATTCTTCCCAAATTATGAGCTAGTCAAGTAACATTTCTGTATGCTAGAGCATCTCTCTCAGCCCTTGCTTGGAATTACTTGCCTCCTTCTGACTACCCTGTTGTGAGGGATGATGTCATCAGCATCAATGCAAATGTTATGTAGAACACAGCATGCTGCAATAACTTTGACAGCCTTGCGGAACTTGACCTCCAAAGCTCTGTGGAAGACGACTCTCCACCTTGCCTGGAGCATACCAAAGGCCCTCTCTACAACAGCCCGAGCTTTGCTGAGGTGGTAGTTAAAATTAATCTGGTTTGCTGTGAGTTGAGTTGACCATCATTCCTGTAGGGCACTATTAGTGTAATAGGGTCTCTTAAGCACATATACCCACCATCGCCAATAATGAAGCATCCATTTGGTGGGTAAGTGGCTTCCCTGTATAGTCCACTGTGTCGAAGGACTCTCAAGTCATGACAACTCCCAGGAAATCCTGTGAAAATGTCTATGAATCGACCATTATGATCCACCAGTGATTGCAGATTAATTGAGTAGTATAATTTCCTGCTTATGTATTCCTGACTCCTCTCAAGATCATCACATATAAAATAAACCTGGCAGCCATCAATTGCTCCCACGCACTGTAGGAAAGCTGGTGTGCTCGTCTGTGTTGCGGGCCGCACATCTGGTCTCCGGGCTCACCGGAGCTTCGGACAGGTCCCCACTGCGTAAGGGCGCTAGGCACTGCAATTGCACGCGCCTATTCTTTGATTTGGGGTGTTGGGCCAGGAACGGCCGCGTCCTTGAGAAAGGGCCGCCTGGAAAAGAAGCGAGTGGCCGGGTGAGCCGTCTGAGACCGCCCCTGGACCCCTTTGTGTCGCCAGAGCTCGGTTTGTGTTGGTCGGACGGGGATGATCGGGCACTCGTTGTGCTCCTTGAACTTCAGAGAGCAGAGGTTTCCTACAAACTTGGTCATTCAAGTACTTGAGATTTGAGAAAATGAACTTAAATACTGTTGGTCGAGTGAGGTGCGCGCATACACTGTAAAAACTTATTGTGAAGTGACGACAAATATTGTGACAAAGCGTTCATCTTTCCCACATAACAGAGGAGTCGTCACATTTGTGACGAGTTCCTTGTTATAGCAAAAAAGATGAAGGATTCGTCACATGATAAAATACTTGTCATGTGATTAAGAATTAATAAGTTGATACATCATTCGTCATTTAATTTCATATGTTGTCACTTGATAATTTTGTTCCATCTAAATTCTCATAATAAGGTATTCGTCACTGGGTACAATATTTGTCACTTGATAACTTACTGACCAATTCATGCATCATTCGTCACTTGATGTGGGATTCATCAATAGATTAATATTCAGTTGCCACTATGGAGAATGATCATTCGTCACTCCATTAATAACTAGCCCCAGAACGAGTCATTGCTTACACTCAATTTTCTAAAATTATGTATAATGGGAAGCTCTTTTTTCCTGTCTAGTGGTGTTGGGTTTACTCTATCCTGGCTATTCTCAGATGGGCCTTCCTAACCTTGAGTAATATGGTGTTACATGGGTTGAACATTAAGAACTGTGCTCAGCTTTGAGAGACAATTGACCACGAACACTTTATACGACTTTTTTTCATCGCTGATCAATAGAGGAGGATTGTGAAATTGTTGAGTAAGTATAACCTTTCTGATTTCTAATTAAATCCTCTGTAGCTTTTTTGATAGCAAGTGGTTGTTGTCTTTGTCTGTTTATGTTTACAGTTTGGCCGAGCAGACGATTATTCAGACGAAAACAAAAATATGAAAAACTCGATGTGACCAATGTACAATTTCTCATGGCAGTTTAGTATGCAGCAGCAGAACAGAAAATCTAAGAACAACAACATGCTGTAAACAAACTTCTCAAGAGGTTCTATTGAACAAAGAGACAAGTACTTCTCCCTTGTAAAACTTTCAAATACTGTGGTATAAGAAAGAATAATGTGTGTTCATTTTCCTTTGATATTGCAGAAATGCCAGACATTTCACTGTGCACTCGTGCATGTAAAATAAAATTAATGTATGGAGGGGTTATGATTTTAAATTACTGTTAAACAATTCACCATTTCATGTCTAAATTTAATTTTCGTATCAATTTGATTCAATATAAATTATATTATTTCTCACCATAACCAATTCTTTCATGTCACAAGATACGTATATATATTTACTATATATTACTGATCTCATTTGAGCTATTCTATAACCAAAATAATAGCTAAAATTTAGTTGTCCCCTTCCTCCGGTTCTGTGTCATCATCATGATGGCTGCCCTTGATGGCCTTTTCCAACGCCAATATCTTTGGATGTACTATTGATGTCGGCATCTTCTTTCCATTCTTAGTGACTGGCCTCTTATGGCCCTTGGGAGGGTCGATGCCATACACCCACCTGTAATCAGGAGAAAAATCAGTTCAAGCAAGAACAAACATCAATTTCATTTTGAAATATGAAGGTAATTCATCAATAGTAATACCTTTGTAGAAATTCTAATGTTATGGTTGTTTCGGGGCAATAATTCAAATTCAACACATAGTACATCATGAGGACCATATCAATCCCCTCTTTAAATGAAGTAAGCTTACATACAGGCTTTCCATCGGTACTAACAAAGTACTTTGTTGCCTCAAATGCTGTTCTCCCTGTAAGTAACAGATGATAGACTGGCTGAAGAGAACTATCAAAAACGTCAAAATGAAGGAAATAGTTACCAGCAGCAATGAGGGATGGAGAGGCTGGGAGGTCAACTCCTTCAAGGTCTTCAATTTCTGTGGTCTCCTAAATAAATTTTGTGGTAAGTTAAATTTTAAGCATTCTGTTGTTAGAGTGTGACCAGAACAAGCTTTACCTCCTTAAAATGAACTAGCTCCTTGAAATCTTCTCCAAAATAATGAGAAACCATTATTATTACTGCTATGAATTTTGCCTGAATTCGGTCCAACTGTGACCTCTTGCACCTCCTGAAAGTATTTCTGTACAGAACAGCATTCTCTTGGGTAGACAGAGATTTGAAGAAATCCAGAAATGAGTCCAGTTGTAGAGTTTTGAATTCCTCCACTGTTTCAGTAACATCTATTCCTGTCAGGATTTGAAAATGCACCTTCATTCCTGTGTGAGTGAAAAGGAATGGCCAATCCTCTACAATATTTTGAAGTGTTACAGGTACTGCAGGATCATCTTCATCCTCTTCAGCTGCAGTCGTGGCATCACAATTGTTTCCCTGTAATAGAGAGAGGATTAGATAAAAACAGTATAGTGTAAACTTTACTTCTAAATTACACTGCAAGTATACGTACTTTATTTTTTTTTCTGATACCGTTTCTTTTTTTCTTCTTTGAGGGCATCTTCTATGTTTTTATTAATTAAATCTCTTTGTGATTTGTAGGTCTTTTTCATGGCCTCCCCGATTTCATCCAATTTCCACAACTGGGGGCGCACTGAACTGAACATTTGTTTGAGTTCTTCTTTAACCACCATTGCTTGAGCTTCATTGCAATCATTTGGATATGTTTGAAACCTCCAGCGGAGACATCCATATGCAAATTTGCCCCTTGGCCGTTCATATTCTAAAGTTGTGGGATTCCTCTGTCTGCCATTCCGGCCTGGACGTGTAGCATTATCATATCCAATTTTAAGCCGTAGTAGAAAGCCAGCAGCTTTTCCTTTTCCAACTACGCCACTGAATGTATTTTTATGTCTATCCACTAATTGATTATACACAGTTTCCATGGATGCTCTTGTACAGCCTTGTATCCCTTTTCTTGCTTGCAGTACACATTCCTTGATAACAGCAATTGCTAATTTGGGCCTCATTGTTTTGCCTTTATCAAAGAACTCTTTCTTCTGCAGGAAGTACAGTCTATCCCAGTTAAAATGAAACTGAGGAAAGAGAGGAGGCTGTGCTTGATTCTGCTAAAAGAAACAGGAAAGACAAAGGATTTAGCAGTGATATTATGGAGTCAGTTAATTTGAATACCTCTTCAGACCCTTTGATATCTTAAATTTCACATCAGTAGTTCAATGAATTGTTGTCAACTTACAGGCTGATCTGGTTGATTGCCTTCTGGTTCTGCACCTCTTATTGTGTTATTGTTATTCACAACAGCATTACCATTTGATGGGCCTATAATTTCAGAAAGTTATTGTCATTAGTCATTGTATTGCAGTATGACAGTGGGGATGAAAGACCATTCCTGTCATACCTGCAGCATAGAAATCAATTATGTCTCTTGCTTGATAGATAGAGAGACCAGCAGAAACTATATCTTCCTCTCTCATCAATTTGAAGTATTTTTCTCTGTTCATTCCCTTGTCGATTAAGTTTGACACCACATCGTAAATTATTTCATCTGAGTCATTAGTTATATTTTTGAAATCTCTGATGACCTTTTCCTTAAACTCCTCCATCTGTGGCAAATGAAAATGTATATACAATTAGTTTTCTATATTTCATTATTTGTGTGCCTTCATTGAATGAGGATATTTTTCTCATGGACTCTAAAACCACATGGGTATAGTGATATTTGTGTCCAATACGGTACAGAATTTGTACTTGACGGTACAAACCCATCAATTATTCTCCTTATTGCAAACTTGGCTCAATTCCACATGGAGATTCCATGAGAAAAGTATCATTTATTTATTTATGTAATTTTTTATGTAATATGTTCTTACCTTTGTGTCTTCTGCTCCAACCTCCCAAAAAACGTGGAATACCGGTGTCCCGGTGGTCGGCGATAATGTGACGTCACCCTCCCCCTCCCCCTCCCTTCCCTGATTTCTCATTACACCTGTCATACACCTGTCTTTTCATTGGCAGGGAATGTTTGACCTGTTTGACCTATCACCCTCTCATACCAATGAGCTAACAGCTGGATTGTAAGTTTTGTTTACTCATTGTCTGAATGAAAGTGATGTGGTAACAATCAATAACAAACAAATATTTATTCTTTGGTAATGCAAGAATATTAAAAACTAATTATAGTGGTGTTTGCTATTGCATGTAACTGACACTTAAATTATTACAGGTGAAAAATGGGGAACTCATTAGAGGCATGGAGAGCTGCAATTGGATCATTCTGCCCTGCTGCTTGTGCAGGACCAAAAAAGAATCAACTTCAAGATTTCATTGGCATAGATTTCAATTGTAAATATTATCGATTGTTTTGGTTCTTGGTGCTGACAAGCCTTTTAATTATTGCCAATGTTGAGTCTAATCCTGGACCCGCTTATCAGTGTCAGAAATGCAGTGAAACATTTGAAACTCTGAGGGGGAATGCAGAACATCAGCAAAGTGTACACTCTCTTGAACGGAAGTTTGTGTACTCTTGTGCATGGCCTTCTTGCGGGCACCTCATATTTTGCACATTCAAGGCATTAAGTGTTCATCTGTGCAAATTTCATGATAAAGACACGAGAAGTAACGTTGGTACTGAGAGACTGCAATGTTCATCTCCTGGATGCACCCAGGAAGCCAGTTCAATGACAAATTTGTGTCACCATCTGATTAATGACCATGGAGTGAAAAGTAACGAAACAATTAGATGTCCTTTTCCTTCTTGTAAGAGAGGTCCATATAAAATTTCAACGTTCAGAGTGCACTTGAGTGACTATCATGATGGCTGGCTGCATAACAAATCCTCGACTATATCTGAAACTAGCATTGAAAATGCAGGTCTATTTGATTTTGATCTAAATACTAGCATGAATGATGATGATCCACCAACAACTGAAAATCAATTTGAGGAGCACCACGAAAATAATGAGGTATTTCTCTTATTTTTTTATCAAAGAATATCATCAAGCAAGCAATAACAATACAAATTGATTTATTGTGCTTTTACAGATTCATGAGGAGACAAGATTTTATCAGCAGGTCGCACGTTTTTACTTGATGATGGAAGCTGAATTCATGCTGCCCACATCAACTGTCCAGGCAATTTCTGTAGCCCTTGCTAATTTATTTCGTGTCAATATTGGTTTCATTAAAAAAGCGGCTATCAGGGAATTGGAAGGAATACAGCTAAGTCCAACGGAGAAGGAGAATATGTTGTCAGCATTATTACTGTCTGACAAACTCTTTTGTTGTCATTCCAAAGAAATAAATGGAGCCTCTTTTATCACAGATGCTACGAGGAAAACGTTTTACAAAAGAAACTTTACTTACATTGAGCCACAGGAAATAAATTTATCAAAAGATCCTACAAGTCGCAAATGTATCCATGTTGTTTCTATAAAAGAAACACGTGAAGTTTTGCTCCCTTGCCCTTCTATCAAAAAGCAAGTGGAGGAAAGTTTTCGATCTCAGGAGCAAGGGCCAAGATCAGACAATTGTTTCAGTGACTACCGTGATGGATCCGTCTACAAAAATAGTAATTCTTCAAAGAAGAGGACAATTGACCTCAACATTTTCATGGATTCATTTAATCCTCTCAAAGATCTTGGAGCAGCTGCTGACAACTATGATACCTTAGGAATGTACATGACTATTGGCAATTTAAAGCCACATATCAGATCAAAATTGCAATCAATGCATTTAGTCATGTTAATTCCTAAATTCAAGGATATGTACAAGCAATTTAAAGATAAGTGTTTTAAGCATGTGATTTCTGAATTGAAATTGTTAGAGGAAAATGGCATTAACTTTAATGGTGAAATTATTCCTGTTGTACTTCAGTTCCTGATAGGCGACAGTAAGGGCCAAAATCAGATTGGTGGTTTTGTGGAAAGCTTTACAGCTTTGCATTATTGTCGATTCTGCCCCATGTCACGAGATGACTTTCGTGCAACGCCTTGGGGAAGAAGTGAACAACTTCGCACCAAAGAAAGTTACAGGGAAGATGTAAGAGAATTCAAAAGATTGAAGCTTGATGATAATGCCATATCACACTACAATGGTGTGAAGAGCTCATCACCTTTTAATGAACTCAATGATTTTCATGTCACTGATCCCAGATTGTGTCCATGCATTGCACATGACATCTTTGAAGCCATAGGAGACAGGTATGATATGTCTGAAATCATTAATCATCTTGTTGAGAATAGCTGGTTTTCTTTAGCAACATTGAACAGTCTGATTCGGAAGTTCAAATACTCATCTTCAGACCTGAAGAATAAACCAGGCAAAGTGCAGGAAAATAAAATGGGTGGACATGCAATTCAAAATTGGACACTTCTGCGTTTGTTGCCCATAATAATTGGCGAATCAAGAATCTTAGACCCTTCTGATGCATATTGGCAGCTTTACCTCAAACTCAAGAATATAACTGAGTATGTATGTGCACCATCTATCACAATTGACCAAGTTGATCTTCTTAAACTGTTGATTGAGGAGTATCTGTTTGACCGTCAAAATTTACTGGACCGACTACCACAGCCAAAGCATCACTTTTTAAATCACTATTCTGAACTTATCGAATTGATGGGTCCTTTAATACATTTATTTACTATGCGATTTGAAAGTGTTCACAAGTTTTTCAAACAGTGTGCTCGAAATGCTAAAAATACCATAAATATTGGAATGACCATGTCAAAAAAATCAGCACTGTATTTTTGCTATTTGTCAACTGGTTTTTGGAATCCTGAGGGCATTGCAACGGTTGGAGAGGAAGTCTTGGACATATACTCCGATACACATGACCAAGACACAAGAGCTGAAATGCGCAGACAATCCTTTTCAGTGAATGCTCATGAAGCAAAATGTGTTGCAATTGGAGATAATGAAATCAAAAAGGAAGACTGGCTGCTTCTGAAATGCACTTCAGTAAACACAATTATTGTTGGTTTTGTACAGTGCATTGTCATTAACGAAGGAGTGGTTACTTTTGTCATGAAACAGTTTACATCATCCTTGTGGGCGGATTATGGACTTTATAAAATTGATCAGAATTCTGAATTGGGCATTCTCTCGACTCCGTACACTGATTTGAGCTACCCAAGAGCTCAATCAGTCTATTCCTTTGGAGGACATCAGTGCTTTTCTCTGAAGCACCAACTAGTTTGTTCTGCATATGAAGGTAAGATGAGTCCTAATCTATAAACTTCTGGTTCTATAAATTGAGTCTTAATGTGCTAATCAATCATGCTTGTGTTTTTCAGATTAATAAATGAAGTCTAGTCTTCTAAGAGTAGATACGATCAACATACCTATCTATATTGTCCTTAAAATCCTACATGAAGGAAATAAATGTGCATCAGTTCTATGGAGATTATTTCATTATTTTCTTCTTTGACTAGACTCTTCAAACAGTAGACATCCAAGTATACTTTTAGAGAATGTAACTATTTTAACTTGTGTGTAGCGGCATAATCTGCTGCTGCTGGAAATAGCTACTGTTACTTGTCTGTTAAGTACTGCATATTTAGCTGCCAAAAGAGCTGCATATTTTTTTTTCTTTTTCAAAATCAATGTGACGAATCAATTATCACATGATTAATTTTGCATCATGTGACAAATCATTTATCCTACACATATAATGAGTTTTTTGGTAAGTGACGAATCACTGATCCAATGACCTGTGATAAAGTTCTTATCGCATGAAAGTTTTTTTATCATGTGACGACTCCTCTATCACATTTCCCTGGCTCAGGGTATGAAAATGTATTAGTGATGTGATGTGACGATTCATGTGTCACTTCATGAATTATTAATTAAGTGACGAAACATTTATCATGTGACAATTTTATCACAAATTGACGACCCATTTGTAAACTGGTATGTGACGACATATCTGTGAAACCAATTTAGGAGAGGAAAAATTGTGAAGTGACGACTAATAATTTTACAGTGTATGCTCGCGCCCCCTGTAATGGTTCCCGAGCGTTCCGAGCGTCTTTCTGTTCTTTTTCCTCCGCGGGGCGAGGAGGTGCGGGGTGGGGGGTGTGGTAACATAACCCTAAAAACTTGCTTAGCTACGATCAGGACTGCCTTTACTGACCGAAACTGGCGTATTAAAGGCCTATCTCACTTTTAAAGTTACAAACTCTCGATTTTAGGTAAAAATAACGGACCAGCCACTTTTTGCTCCACCCCACCCACCTCGCCCCGCGGAGGAACAAGCTGGGCCCGCTCTTCCGCCAAACCAAGTTGCCAGCTCCGCTTCGCTCCACCGGCAACTCGGTTCGGCAGGGAGCGGGCCCAGCTT